TCTAACAATGATAAGCACAATTGCAAGTAACATTATGTCCCATAGTTAGACAATAGCTATTAACGAGAGACGCTGAATATCTTTTTTTGCACTCCGGCACACACACCTTCACTCCAGATTTAGAGTCGCACTTCGCCGGCCACGAGTAAAAGCATATTCCTTTAGTAGGATCATCATCTTTGCCTACATAAAAATAAAAAAAATAAAAAATAAAAAAAGGATTAAATGTTGTACACATCCAATATATTGATTTTTAACAAAGATTTCGAGGGTTTCTTTTTTTAATTTTTCGGGATTAATTTTCACAATAATTGTACAATTGCGAAAATTGACATGTTAGAGAATGCGAGTCTCACCTGATGAGACACGATCTGCTGTTTGAGCTGATGTTAGAACGGATAGAAGTACCATCACATAAATCGATTTTGTGAAAATATCCATTTTAATTAATAGTTTATCTAGTGAAGAAAAAAAAGGCTTAGGGTTTGTATAAAATGTGTCTTTGATGTGAGGTCATTTATATGAGAAGAATTGTGTAATAAGATTTCAAGATTGTTGTTGTTTAAAATGGTTTAAAATATTTTGTTTATTATTTAGTTAGATTTGATAGGTTTAAATTTCACACTTTGTAATTTATAATAACAAATATTATATGTATATTGTTTAAAACATGATATGTAATACTTTCTTCGTCCGTAAAATTATATAGATTTGGTAGAACACAGAACTTAAAAATTATTGATATTTTAATATTAAAGTAGAATAGATAAAAAGTCAAATATAGTATTATATAAAATTTATTAAAGAATCAGAAAATATTATTTTTGTAACAAGATTTTTTCGTTTCTAAATCTATTATTTCCGTTACTAAAATCTATTACGTTAGCTACGTAAATTTTAGAAATAGAATTCCGTTACAAATATACTAATTTTTTTTTTTTTTTTTGCAGTGAATTGAAAAAAAAAAAAAAAAAAAAAAAAAAAAAAGAAAAAGTGGTGAGATAAATAGGGGGAAAAAATAGTAAAACAATTGTTATTATTAATTGAAGTAATAGTAATAAAATGATAGGCTAATAGTGAAATGATTTTATTACCATAATTTTTCAATTTTTTTATTCGAGCTTTAATTTTTCTTTTTTTAGAAATATTATATTTAACACAATTTATTTTATTTTATTTTATTGTTCAAAATATTACACTATTATTTCACCTAAAAAATATTTAAAGCATACACATTCACACTTTTTTTTTAGATCAGTAATACGTGAATGAAATGAGATTATTGAAATGTAACAACATATTACAAAAACTTTTCTCATCATATCCAAAATATTCGGTTTATAATTGGATGCATTATTGTAATTAAGTATATTGTTCCCAGATAGCATTTCCACGTTGCCGTTTCTGTCTGTCCCACGTACCATGTCACTTTCCTTTTTTGGAAAATGATTACACATTTTAATCTCATTTTAAATTTTTTAAATTTTTTTTTTTAATTTTAATTAAACTAATTAGTTATCTTAATCTTAATTATAATTATTTATATTATAGGATAATTATTTTCACTAATACATTATTAATTATCTACTAATTACACTCCTCCTAAAATACCGTGTCTACAGTGTAGCAGACACGATATCTGGGATGGAGGGAGTAATATTTTATGTTGCTGGAATTAATTATGAATTAAAATATTTGTAATATTATGAACTCCTTCAGCCTCATAATAGATGACTTATTTGCTCTGTGTACGAATATTTCAGTGCTAGAGATTAGTAAATTAATAATAATAAGTTATGATGCTCTTTTCGTCCCATTGAAAGGTTACTATTTTTAGTTGTGTTCGTCCCAAAACGAGGTTATCATTTCCTAATTTAGTAACTGTACTACCTACTTAACATAATAAATATTATTTCAATTTACAATATATTACACAAATGTCATTATTTTTATATTGCATCATACTAATAGGGGTATTTTTGTCTTTTTCACTACAATCTAATATAATATTAATATTCAAAAATCTATGTGCAAAAAGCAAATGTCACCCTTCCAATGGAACGAATGGAGAATTTTGTTTATTACTTTTTATTTTATAAATGATGTTGATATTTTTAAAATATGAATTGACATATGGTTAAAAAGATTTTAAAATATATGTTTAAATATTTTAAATATAATATCTTAACAGAATATACATTCTTTGTCCTGATCCAAACTAATAGCAGTAGATTAAAAAATAATAATATTTCATTGGTCAGTGAAAATGTGTAAGAGATTTTAACATTTTCTCCATTTGACTTTGTATATTATTGAATATTATCTCACATTAGCAAACACGTGGGAACTCCTCTATTATATAAGGATGAAGGTCACTCCACCTGTCACTGTTGATTTTAGGTTGAAAGTCTGGATCCCTTCTTAACATATATTAATTTATTGTATTTTTAATGATATATTTTTAATTTACTTAAAAAGTAAAAATATTTTGGTATTAGTATATTATAATACTCCAGAGGATGAGCCGATATCAGCTCATCCAACAATACGCATATTTCTTTATAACATTCAAATTGAAATACTTTGTAAAAATAATTATTGAAGCCATCCTAAAATTTCAAAACATCAAGCTTTATTACAATGATAAGAACAATTGCAAGTGACATTATTTCCCATAGTTAAACAATAGCTATTAAGGAGAGCCGCCGAATATCTTTTTTTGCACCCCGCCACACACACCTTCACTCCAAGTTTGTTGCAATTTGCCGGCCATGAGTAAAAGCATAGTCCTTTAGTCGGATCATAATCGTCGGCTACATAAAAATAAAAATAAAAATCGAAAAAGGATTAAATAGTATACAAATATCCAATATATTGATTTTAATCTTTGTTTAAATAAAATATTTCAAGGGCTTCTTCTAAATCAACCTATGAAAATTTATTGGGATTAATTTTCGCAATAATTGTATAAGTGCGAAAATTGACATGTAAGAGAATGCGAGTCTTACTAGGTATAACACGATCTACTGTTTGAGCTGATGTTAGAACGAATAAAAGAACCATCACATAAATCGATCTCGTCAAAGTATCCATTTTAATTGATATTTTCTCTAGTGAAAAGAAAAAATAAAAAGCTTAAGGTTTGTATAAATTATGTCTTCATTTGAGGTCTTTTATACGAGAAGAGTTGTGTAATAATGTTTTAGGATTATTGTAATAAAAAAAAGTTCATATATTATTATACTTTTGTTTTAAAAATATTTTAAGGTTACAGGCTCTGTGCCTCTTTCAATTACCGTTTCACCTAAAAAATTATTAAAATGATGCATACGTATTTTTTCTTTTATGGTGTACAATTTGCAATCGCTATTTTTTAAATGCACAGTAAAATATAATCAAACTTAATAGTCTAAAAACTAGATCAACAAGACAAGTCACATTATTTGAGATGGTGACATGTGAATGCAATGAAATTATTGAAATATAACAATATATTACACATACTTTTCTTTATCATACCCAAAATATTTGAATTATATTGTGGATGTAATATTGTAATTAAATAGTATAATGCAGTTTTTTTATAAATATTGTGTTGCTAGAATGAATAATTATTTAATATAGTTGTAATATATTTTGTGTTGTTAGAATATGTAAAATATATATGTTCGGAATTGTGTCGAAAAAAAAAAAAAGTAGGCAAACAAACCTAATAATTATTTTAAAATGCCTTGTCACGACAAATTTATTTAATTTATATAATTCTTATCCCAAATCGAAATTAATATTATTTAATAGGTACATTTTTTTAATAAAAATATATTATTTAGTCATATAAAATATCATTTAAAAACCGAAATTCAAATAAATATTACTCTCTCCGTTCTAATTAAATGGGGCCCATAGTGGTAGCGTCCGAAAATAAAAAAAGATCAGCTAGATTGATTTTTTTCAATAGATTAAAAAAATATATATACTTTCTCCGTTTCAACTCAAAGTATTTTTTTTTTCCTATTCTTTTAATCTCATTTTAAAGTATCTATTTCTTATGTTAGTAAAGTAATATGCATTAATACCAAAATATTCTTTAACTTTTACTTAAATTATAATTATACCATTATATATACAATTATTTTTTATATATAACAAAACACCTCTCATAACCATCCTTAATATACTACAAAACTCTAAAGAAAAATATAATATAATGATTTATCAATAATTAGAATGGAATAAAGAGAGTAATATCTTATCAATAAATAGAATGTGTAAAAATATTTTACCAAATTTGTCATTTTTATTAGATGTATAATATAATGATTATGTGTAATAATATGTGATTTATATGAAAAAAAATAAAAATATATTAATATTAATACAGAAATTTTTTTATTATAATAGAAAATGTATATATTTGAAACAAGAGAGAAAAATATTTATAAAAATATAAAATAATTGATTCCAATCAATCTCACAAAGTAATGACACTGTTATGCCTTATCAATATATTTATATATAATTAGAATTTGTGTCTATATCTCAAAATTTAAGCATTAAAATAATAAAATAAAATTAAATTTTAAATTAGCATATTAAAAATGAAAATTAAAATAAATACTCACTCCGTCCCAAAAGATTTATCTTGTTTTTTTATTTTCTCTACTTTTTCATACTATCCCTAGTTATTACACTAACATACTTTTTAAAATGCATTTTAGTCGTTTATATTTTACTTTATACCCACTTTCAATTAAATACTATTATTTCTTAATTCCGTATCAACTCTCAAATAAGAGACTTCTTTTGGAGAGGGAGTATATTCTTACGGCCAGTCACACTGTATCATTGCAATTTTTGTTGCAATAAATACCCAATCTTAAATAAATAACACCTAACCCTAATAATAACAATAATTATTATTTAAATTATTATTTGTTATTAATTTAATTATTTAATTATGATTCCATTGTTCGTTTTTTTTTTTTTTTTTTTTAATTCCAGTCCAGGTGAGGTTTTCATCTCCTCATTAGATTCGCCCAAATTTGGGTCTCTTCCCACTGAACCAATCCAGAAATCTTATCCTGGAATTCTCCTTCTGCTCGCTCACTGCGATTCATTGCTGGAATTCACGCGTTCCTCAGTTTGGCGGAGCTTTTTCGCGTTGAAGAATTTCGTGTTGATCCCAAATTCCCGCTAATTTAGGCGTGTTTCACCAATCGCCACTTGATTGCGGAGGCTGCTGATGTGTTGTGTGGATTGTTGTATTTGTAATCTGTGTTGCTGAAGGAGTATTAATTCAGGCGACCTACTGTTTGTGTGTGTTTGAATCGATATATTCGCCATCATGTGTATTGCATTTTGAGATTCTGATTTTGGGGAGGAAATTATCGAGCGGTTTTACAAGATATTTTGGATTTGGGGGGTGGTGAAGGATTGGTCGGATTAGATCTAATTGATGGTGGTATTTTATTATTGATTCGTATATAAAATTGTGGAAGAGTCCGGCGAAAGATGCGGCGGCGGGCGTCCGACTATCGGCGCCCGGTTCGAAGGAAGCTGCCGTGTTGGATCTGGGCGCTTCTGGTGTTGTTCTTCGTTGTAGGTATTGTTTTGTTTCTTGTCCAGCATAACCAGGACGAGGAGGATCATGTGGAGCAGCCTGTTTTGGTATGACCTTGTCTTCATTTTTTACTTTATCATTATTATATTTTTCTTGTTGATTTTTGTTTGTGTTTGTTCATCTGATGCTGTTCTGCAATTGCCACTTTGAGTTGAGTGTATGCTTTTATCGATTTGATGGATTAGAATTAGAATGTTCACTCTTTTGTAGACTCATTGTAAGGATCGGATGTTTAGAGTTTGTAGTTTGGAAACTTAAGAGTATGTTTATAGATTTCTGAACTTCCTTTGTTGCTTCGTTAATCATTATGTTCAATGGATGTTATGTAATTTTGGTCTAAGTTGAATAGATTAGTTTACGAATTTGATCAATTGGGATGTTAACTTGTTCGGAGATTGTGGTTTGTGTTTCTTTTTCATAACTTGGTTAGCTTTTGGTCTACTAGAGTCTTAGAGAATTTAATTTTATCTAACAGATGTTTAAATTTAATATTTTCAAGATCAATATCGAATTTGATAATTATGCCCGGCATCTTTCATGCACAATCAACTTCAACTAGAATCAAGTATGGCTTGCTAAGTCGATATTATTCTTATTGAATTTTGCAATGCTACAAATGACTGAGGAAATGAGACAACCTTTATGGTGTGTTTGTTATAAGTTAGGGTTAAAGATGGATCCTTAAGTATTGATTTGAGGTGTGGTCATATGCTAGTAGTTCACGGATATCGTATAGTTTTTTTAGTTTTCATTGTGCTGATTCTTGTCGTCGTGCAAAATGTTGGGAGTTAGAAGATTTTCTTGCATCTGCAGACTGAGTATTTGAAAGAACTAAATCAGAATTCCTGTAGAAAAAGCATACTTAAATTCATTTGTAGAAACCCGAGGGCTTGATCTTATTCTTGGGCGATGATATGCTTACAAAAGGAAAGATTGAAGGTCAAAGTGGGTAGAACTGATGATGAAGATTGAAATTCATCGATGATGGAAATGTAAATATGAAAGGGAGATGCAAATCTTGTGAGATACAAATTCTTAGTTTCCTTGTGCTGCATCATTCTATTGTTCGATTAAATGCTTTAGTAGTTTAGAAAGTTCATTGTCTTTGTCGACGATTTCTTGTCATCTGATGGATTGTTCGTCTATTTCATCTTATTGCACATTCTCAAATGCTTTCTGTTGTATTCTACGTATCTATAATTTTCAGGATAGGAATTCCAGAAGCGACTGGGTTAACGAGAGGCGTAATTTAACAGAGGAAATGTTGAGCGCAAGATCATACACTCGACAATTGGCCGAGCAAATGATCCTCGCCAAAGCATATGTTATCATCGCCAAAGAACACAACAGTCTCCATCTTGCCTGGGAGCTTAGTTCGAAAATAAGAAGCTGCCAAAACCTGCTTTCGAAGGCTGCCATGAGAGCCGAGCCGGTAACTCTAGAAGAAGCAGAGCCCATCATCAAAAGCTTATCGACCCTCATTTTCAAGGCCCGGGATGCTCACTACGACATCGCAACCACAATGATGACGATGAAAAACTTCATACAATCTCTGGAAGAACGCCGGAACGCTGCGACGGTTCAGAGCACGGTGTTTGGACAATTAGCTGCCGAATCAGTGCCCAAGAACATCGAGTGCATCAACATCAAGCTCACGACCGATTGGCTTCTAAACAAGTCGTTGCTGGAATTAGCAGAAGATCGGAAGAACTCCCCTCGACTGGTGGACAACAATCTCTACCATTTCTGCATATTTTCGGACAATGTATTGGCTGCATCGGTCGTCATCAACTCCACCGTCTCTAATGCCGAACATCCGAAGCAGCTCGTGTTCCACATCGTGACGAACGGTTTAAAGTTCGGGGTGATGCAGGCGTGGTTCCTCAGAAACAACTTCCGAGGTGCGACGATCGAGGTCCAAAACATCGAAGACTTCACTTGGCTGAACGCGTCGTATTCTCCCATCGTGAAGCAACAAAGCGATCCCGAATCGAGGAAATACTTCTTCGAAGGTACTTTGCAGGATGGTAATCTCGACCCTATGTTCCGGCACCCGAAGTACGTCTCGTCGTTAAACCACCTCCGGTTTTACATCCCGGAGATCTACCCCCAGCTGGAGAAAGTCGTGTTCCTCGACGATGACGTCGTCGTCCAGAAGGATCTAACGCCGCTCTTTTCGCTCGACCTCCACGGTAACGTCAATGGGGCGGTCGAAACTTGCCTCGAGGCCTTCCACCGGTACTACAAATACCTCAACTTCTCCAACCCGATCATCAGCACGAAATTCGATCCGCAGGCATGCGGGTGGGCGTTCGGGATGAACGTATTCGATCTAATCGCCTGGAGAAAGGCGAACGTGACGGCGAGATATCATTATTGGCAGGAACAAAATGCCGACAGGTTGCTATGGAAGCTCGGCACTCTCCCTGCCGGGCTTCTAGCCTTCTACGGATTGACCGAGCCACTCGACCGGAGATGGCATGTATTGGGACTGGGCTATGACCTGAATATCGACAGCCGGTTGATCGAAACGGCGGCCGTGATTCACTTCAACGGGAACATGAAGCCGTGGCTGAAGCTGAACATCGGCAGATACAGGCCGTTGTGGGAGCAGTATCTTAACCAGACTCACCATCACCTACGGTACTGCGTGACTAGTTGATTCTATGGTACGAACTACTTTCGACGCATTCGAATTCGATTTTTTTTCTCTTTTGAATCTTCTACATTTTCTTGAATATATGTTTGCATTAGCATAGAGCTTAGGGTAGAAAACTATTTTTGAGATGAAGAGGATAATTTGAATACCCACTTTTCCATAGATGTCTGTTTTTTGTTTTCTCCTTAACACAATAGCAAGAGCAAGAAATGATCATCTTGTATTATCTCTTATACAAATTGCTGTAGTGAGATTCCTCATTATTTTTGGGAGATGAAGAAATTCTTTCTTAGCTTCTCCAAATTGTGTGCAATTATGCAATACTCCTAATGCCTAAGAGACTCATTTGCATTATAGATGTGCTTTTAGAAGTTTTGAATTTGAGTATGAAGTTTAGGAATAGTGGAAATTTGAATTGAAATACTCAGCCATTCCGCTCTATTAAGAAATAATAGTATTTTATTGGTCAGCTGAAATGTAAGAAGTTTTGATACTTTTGTCCTTTGATTTTATGTATAAAGGTAAGTATATTTGTAATTTAAGTAAAAATTAATGATATTTTGATATTAGTATATGATTATTTTTACTAAAATATGAAAGTGATATGTTGGAGTGAGACGGACGAAAATGGTAAAAATGATATTTTGAGTTTTGGACAACGAAATACATACTATTTTGAGTTAGGACAGAAAATAATATTTAGTGTAATATAAATATTTATGTATTTGATTCGATAGTTTTGAGTGAACACTTTGTATGGATAGTGTGTGGTGACAATATAGTCAATTTCATTTCAAATCTACAATGTTAGAAAAACTTCTATTGCATCACTTAATACTATTCCCTTTCAAATCCATTTATTTTAAGTTCATCAAATTCAAAACCATCAAACAGAACAACACTTGAAACCAAACATAATCCCTACTACAAAGACACAATCTTCAAGTCTAAAAGCCACAAACACATCCAAGAATTACCCGAATAAAATACATCGATAGAGATACCGTACCTACTCGTCGCCCGCCCATATCCCAACTTCAGTATACCCATCTTCCGTGGCGCAAGCCCTGAACATGCCCACCGTGTTATAAGACATCGCAACTTCTCCAGACGCAGACACAGCGATCACCCCTGTCGTGAATTTGGGCGTGCACTCCTTCACGACGTAGCTCGTCGCTTCATTCAGAGAGAGCCCTTTGTACTCCATAAGAGCAGCCACTTCTCTCCCCACAGTCCCGCGAATTATAGCCTCGCCTTTCCCCGTCGCAGAAACCGCGCACAATTTGTTCGCGTAGGTCCCTGCCCCAATAATAGGTGTATCGCCGATTCTCCCCACCATTTTGTTTACTAATCCACCGGTAGATGTAGCAGCAGCTAGATTTCCCTCGCCATCTACGGCGACACATCCAACGGTCCCGATTTGATCCCCTTTTGGCCCGTCTTTGAGTTCTTGATGGATTGGTTGCGTAAAATCAATCTACAAGAACATAAAGGCATCAAGGACTCTATTAGTCGAACTCCCGGAGATCAAAATGACAACATATGTGTTAAACTAATCTAAATTCTTATCTCTATTTTTTGTAATGAGACTTCACAAGAATTGAGTGATCGATCAGAGAAGAATCGACATGATTGAACACAGAACAAATTACAGAGCTATTCAATAAGCATACCTGAACCCTGTTAGCTTCCTTTGCTTGTTTCAATCTCTCGATGTTTTCCAGAGTTATGAAATGGCTCGAATCGACAACCTCAATGCCCTTCACAAGAAAAACAAAGAAACTCCTTATCATCGAATGTAGAAATCCTTAGATGATCAAATCAAACAGAGCAATTCATCAAAGATCATAAAGAAGGCGAAAACTATCCATCGACTCAAATGAACATGAAACAATATGAAATAGAACTGATAGATTGAAATTGTATCTAACTTGCTCCCTTGCAAATTCCTCGGCTCCTTCGAATCCAAGATAGATATGAGGAGTCTTTTCCATAACAAGCCTTGCCAGAGATATGGCGTTTTTAACTGTACTAACGCCGGAGACAGCTCCGCAGCTCTTCGTGTTTCCATCCATGATACAAGCTTCCATTTCGACTGTTCCTTTCCCTGTCAACACAGATCCTTTTCCGGCATTGAAATTAGGATTGTCTTCAAGTGCACAGACCTGTAAAATATTTCGAAATTAGATGAACTATAGACAGTCAAGTTTCACTCATTTCATCCATGGAAACTAAGAAACCTATATATATATAATCAATCTGCTGAATTCATCTCCGGAGAAGCTAAGAAGCTATCCATCAGATAAATTTGTTTGCCGAAACTGAATTGAAACATAAACTGCATCACAATCGACAAGCAGTTTCTCTAAGCACAGTTTCTATGTCAAAATTAGGGCAAAATTAGAACAAAATTGCTAAAATATGTTTATGCATCAATCATCATTAGAAAGGTATAAACCGAAGAAGATCAGCAGATACAGCTATGGCGCAGACGAATTCGTAAACAGTTAGGATCGATTCGGACGTACGACAAGCTCAACGACGTCCAACGGCGATCGACCAGCCTTGAGAGCTTCGACGCCGATCTGGAGGCAGTAGTGCAGAGCGGCTTTACGCGGCTCAAGGCGATTCGAAGGCATGGACCGTGGGATGTCACCGGCGCCGCCGTGCAGTGCTATTGCCCAACCCATAACCGCCGACACCTACCTACGAGTTTACCGCCGTCGCCGCCGCCACGAATGATCCACGGAGGAGTGCACGTGAAGAAGGGCTCAGTGCGTGACGCCCTTGATTGGAGGGAAAAATAAATAAAATAAAAATTAAGACTATTATTATAATTAGAAAAAAAAAAAAAAAAAAAAAAAAACATTTCAATAAAGATTCCTTACTAATATTGTAAAAAATAATTTTGTAGTTAAAAATTCATTTATATTTTAATAGTATTATTTGTAAAATTGTGTAAAGTATAAATATATAAAAGAAAAAAAAACAAAAAAAAACCTTATATTTGAGTTGAACGTACAAAAATTACATGGAAATTAATTATTTAATATAAAATATGAATTTTTATATTAATTATATGATATTTTTTATATTTGATATAAAAAATATTAATTGGGGTATGAAATTTTAGGTAATGTAGTAATTAAGAAATGTATTAAAAAAAAATTATTAAAATTAAGATAATTAAATAGTTTAATTAAAATAATATATATATAAATTATGAATTTTAAAATATGATTAAAATATATAATTATATTTTTAAAAATTAATTATTAAATTATATGGATAGTCGAAAATAAAAATAATAAACAAATTAGGTGAGACGGAGAAATATTTAAATTGTTAATTTTTTATAAATCGATAAATGATGTATATCTTATATATGGTATAGATGTATGTATATATTATATATTTTTATAATTTTAATTGAAAATAGTGTAAAAATTCCAGATCCAATATTGTTTATAATATTTTTTTTAAAAAAAAAAAAATTGTACAACTACTTACACAAAACTCAAAGAAAATAATCAATTTTTTTTATATACATGCCATATAAACACATGTTTATATTTAATTATAAAGTGTTCTTATTTAAAATTTTAGTATTTAAAAAATATACATAATATAAAATGATTCCTTTAAAAATATCATCTAGAAATTATCTTTTACTATACACTTTTTAATTAAATTATTGTCTAATCAATATTTTGTATTGAATATTTTTTTTAATAAAATAATAATATTTTTTCATTCAAATTTCTATAGTTTCAATAATTAAAGAAAAAAAAATCAACCAACAAAAACACAGTTAAAAGTCACTGACGTCCAAAACACATCGGAATTATAGGCTACGTTTAGACAGAGGTTTTTGGAGAGTTTTGAAATTTTTTTAAAAAGAATAAAAATTAGTATTTGATTTAATATTTTTTGAGAAAAAAAAAATGTATTTGATGTAATATTTGTCGAAAAATTAATAGTGACAAATAAGCGAAAAATTGTTAAGTAAACAAACCCATATATTCTCGACGTTCAATTATTAATTATTGATTATTTAAAATTAATTCAAAATATGGTGTTAATTTAAATTTATGAAAAAATATGTTGATGTAATATTTTATTTAAAATAAAAATTATATTTTTATTGAAAATTACAAATAATGATAATTTTAATCTATAATCACAAGCAAATACACTTTGAATTACTTCCCAAATGCAATGAATTACACTCTCTTATAATTTTTTAAAACTATTATAATAAAATATATTATTTTTTATAAAATATTTTAAGAAAATATTATTTTTATAAAAAAAAAAAGTACACCATTTATCATCATCATGAAAAAGAAATAGCAAAAGAATATCAAAATGTTATATTAAATAAATAGATTTGGTTCTTAAATACATAAATATATTTATATAAGTTATTTATACTTACAATTTTATTCTAATGATATTTAGACTGAATATTGTTTTTTTATTAAAATATAGTTTAAAAAACATTTAAAATATATATTTAATTTATTCTTAATTAATCAAATATATTATATAAGTAAAACTCAACTTATAACCATACATCCAACTTGCAACCAACCTCATCCTCAAAAATTATAAAAGTTTGTATGGTTGGATTTTTACTTTTATTTTAATCCATATTTATATATACATTTAAGTTTTGATAATATTAATTAATAATAACTTGTTTAAAAGATAGTATTATAAAAATATTTATTTTCAATTTAAAATATCACATTAAAAAAAATTAAATATAAAATTATTACTATTTTGTATGAAAAATAAACGTTATATGTAATTTTTTAAAATATATATATATATTGAATAATAAAAAATAGAAAGAAAAAAATAAATTTGTTTATTTTATATTAAATAATTATTTGATATACTAATACTCGATATTTATTCATAATATTTTGTCGAATATTTATTTCCACCTAACATATTTCAAATATAAATCAAAGTACCCAAAATAAAAATAAAAATAAACCTCTACATATCCCCATATTCTTTGAATGTGGTATACATTCATTAAATTTATATTAGCTTTCTATTATAAATACTCAAATAATTTACTTTTATTTATATCTTTTTTAAGAATTTTATACTCCCTTCGTCATTCAATTTTATGCTCATTTTTCTTTTTGGATTGTCATTAAAAAATATTCTCGTTTCCCTTTTAAGTAAAAACTTTCCTTTTTGGGTTGTCATTGAAAAATATTCTCATTTCCCTTTTAAGTAAAATATTATTATATTTATATAATTTTTTTACTATAAAATGAAAAAGTAACTATTATTACTCACTTTTATTAAAATTTGTACCCAGTCAAATGAGCACATATTTACACGACGGATATAGTAGATTGAAAGTGAAAAATATGTATGAAATCACAAGCAAAACCTCCATTCATTTAAAGTGTATTCACTTGTGTTTTTTATTTAGAGTAAAATTTCTTTAATCAAATATTCCCTGTATATCTAATGTTTATTTTTTGTTACAATACTATTTATTTTGTAATAATAATAATAATAAAAGTAAAGATATACATAGGGTGTGATTGGAGTTTAATAATATTTGCTGATTTAAATAATAATTTTAAATTAATATTTTATATATAAAAAAATAATATATTTTTATAAATAATTGCAATAATTATGTAATAAAAAATAATAATAATAACTAACTCCAATATAATACACCCGTGTACTCTACACAAAAAAACTATACTAATTTATTATTGTTGAAAAACATCTATATATTTGTGTTAATAATAATAATAATAATAATAATAATAATACTTCCTCCGTTTCAATTATGGTGTCATGTTTACTGTAAATATGGGAATTTAACAGAGATATAATTAGTAAATAATTAAAAATATATTAGTAAAATTAATTACAATATAACATAAATAATTACAAATTAAAATTAAAATAACTAATTAATTTAAAAAAATTAAATTATAAAATTTAAAATATAATTAAAATGTAAAATATTCTTGAAAAATAGAAAGTAACATAATATATGAGATGAACGAAAATAAAAAGTATGACATAATATGTGGGCGAGTGAGTAATAATAATAATAATAATAATAATTATGATGATGATGATGATGATGATGATTAAATTATAATTTAATGAATATACCTTTTTGGGATTTTACGGTAAAAGAAAAAATAAAATGTTTTGATATTTTTGTCTTTGTTATATGTAAATAGTATATTTATAATTTAGATAAAAAATAATAGTTTTTTTTAAAAAAAAAAAATTATTGCTCTTACTAAAATAGATGGAATATACGAAAATAATAAAAATGATAATTTGACTTGGGACGGAGAATATTATATATACATACTGTCGAACAAGTACTAAATGATATGTGAATTACAATTATACATTGCGACATCATAAAATGTTTCGAACCAAATATTTAAAACATATATATATATATTTATGTATATATATGAGATTGGGATTAATAAAGAAATAAAACAATGTACAAATGGTAAATTAGTTTCCTTATAAACCCCCACGTTTCCTTTAAACTGCTCTCCCCCAAAATTAACGTTATAACTTCCCCACCCCCACCCCCACCCCCACCCCCACCCCCTCCTATACAGTATACATACATACATAGACAGATATATAATGCTCTGGTTATTAATTAATTTTGATTTTTGAATTTCATCATCTCCATCATCTTCCCCATTTTCAAAATTTCAAAATCTCATCTCATCTCATCTCAACTAATTATCTTGTCTGTGATCGATTCGATCGATCTGAAACCCTAGTTTTCACCTCAGATCACTGATCAAGTTCAGACAAACAAGATATGGTTTCTCCCAAGTTGATCCGATGCAGCGTCAAGGACTTAGCTTCGTGTTTTTACTCCTGCGGATTCCCCAATCTAGGTAATCCCCCCCCCCCCCCCCCCCCCCTCTCTCTCTCTCTCTCTCTTTCTCTCTCTATATATATATATGAATGATATAGATAGATACAATATCCGTGTGTGTATGTATTTGTTTATTTGTGTATTAGTGCTATTCGAAAGAAAAAAAAAAAAAAAAAACTTACGCTGTATTGCCATGTTCTTCATTTGCCTCTAAAAGCCCTAGTTTGATCATTCAGTTTTAAGGAGAATCATACTTTAATCTATATATATTTAAAATAATAAAAAATTGATATTTGATAAAGTGTTTTATAAGAAAAAATAGTTACAAGATGCAATTTTTTTTCTTAAAAAAAAATCCCAACTTTAAAAAAAATATATGTGGAAGTTTTGGTTAATGTTATTTGGAAATAAAATAGTTGTTGGATATAACATTTATTTGTATATTTTCAAAGTGAAATTTAATGATTGAATAGTTCCATAAACAAACCCCAAATTTTCATGAATACCAAAACCCTAATCAGTCAGTGTGTAAGAAAAAACCCTAATTAATGACTTTCTGTAAATGTTTTTTTTTTTTTTTTCTTCAGATGAGGAAGAGGAGCCCCAAACCTTAAGCAGCAGACAACCTATGATCTCCGAGGAAACTGCGGCGGCGTCGAAAAAAGACATGAGAGGTGAGAAAGAGCCTGAGAAGCAGCTGTCGAACTCACCATCACCACAAAGAACTGATCTCAGTCGAGGCAGTCCCCGGTTTTCAGACAAAGATTACATAGTTTTTCGATTTAAGGAGAATGGACAAATCGATGTAATGGATGATGGTGCACAATCGTCGCAGCAGCAGCTGCCGTCACGTTGTGTCTGCCAACGATGCCGCGCCCCAATTGATGCAGCTTCATTGAGGCCTATCAGCAAAAAGGTTTTTTTGTCGAACCTTTATATATATATATATATATGTTAATATATATCTTACACGTGTTTACTATGCATTATTAATTAATTAATGTTTTTCGAGCTTTTGCTTAGGGTAATTTAATATTTTTTTGTTGTCGTTCGGTTGAAGTAGTAAATAAAATCTAAATGCTTCGATTCAAGGGTTTTGTGACCATTTTTATTTAAGTTAATTTATTGTTTTTTTGTCGTTGTTGTCGATTTAGTATGTTCGCTTACATGATTAATTAATATTCGAAGTATGACTTATTTTAATTTAAATTTTATTTTATTATTGCCGTTGTTATCTGTATAGTATGTTCATTGTACGTTCGAAGTATAATTTAGGTTAATTTAATTTTTTTGTCCTTGTTATTCAGTCTGTTTATTGGACATGGTTAATTAATATTTGTCAAAGTTTTGTTTAGGTTAATCTAACTATTACTATACATGACTAATCAGTATTCGAAGTATACTTTATAGTAAGGAAGGTAGTATTAATTAGGAAATAAAACCTAAGTCCTTCGATTCAAAGATATTTTTGTCGAATCTTTGTTTAGGTTAAATTTTTTTTATTGTCATTCAGTATGTTTACTGTACATGATTAATTAACATTCAAGTTATACATGTATAGCTCAAATGTTGACTATTATTATTTTTGAATAATCTTTTCTTAAATAGTATTACATTTTTAATCATCTTTTCTTTTTGGACACTTTTCCCCCTTTCGGGTTCTCTAGTTGATTTACAAGGAAGGTTTCGAGCTTAGAAATGATTCGAAGAGAGTAATGATGCCGAATCAAGACAAAAACAAAGCTATTACAAATGGCAAGGGGATTTTAATCTCGGACACAAACAAGGTATCCTAATTCGAACACACAAAACTCAAGAAAGAAATAAGACAACTAACCCTAAATTTATGACAGGATGAAGAAAAAGGCAAAGGAAAAGATCCCAACACACCTCGCCCAAACAAAATCGATCATCTTGTAGACGACTCTTGTGGCTCTAATAGATCGTCCGGCACTAGCAGCGCCAGCTCATTTTCCTTCCCGGAGTAAGTAATTTTTTTAAAAAAATAAATAAAATTGAGCATTAGCTATATAGAGCATTGATAATTCATTGTTTTTGTTCGATTTTGATTTCGTACGATGATGTCCGAATGCAGGTTGGGGGTAGAATGGATTGGCAGCCCTGTTCACCTGCCCAAACCAGACAGAGAGGAAGAGGCAACTTGTGCTAAACTATACTATTGTTGTAGGTTTTAAATCGATCACTTTTAATTTAAATTTTATTTCGCGTATGTATTGTTATGTATTTGTAGTCCCTTTTGCGACTTTGGGAAACTAATTTTGCTTGTGTTCGACATTTAAGGTTTGGTCTTATGATCTTCTTGCATTTGGATAGTTCTATGTACTAGGGTTTGAATTGTTTTAAGGTATTTGTTTGGATTTGAGATTTGAGATAGTTTGAACCTGGTATAAATAGTTATTAATATATATGACGAGTTTTATTTGATATTTTAGAAGTGGGAAATAATTTTGTTTATAAATAGGTATAAATATGTGTGTTAACCATTTATAAAATATAGTGAACTATACTATCGAATATGTTGAATTTATTTTAAAGTATATATGTTGAGATATGAACATATTTATAAAATATATTGAACTATAATATTATATTTGAACATGTTTGGATTATATGCTGAATTTTATTTTGGAATTATACTAATATCTATATAAGTTTGGATCTTATGGTGAGTTTATTTCAGAATTATATGTAGGTTTGAATCATATGTTGAATTTATGTCAGAATTTTCACATAAACTATGCAACCATGAGGGAAGATCTCCGATGGCGAGCACATTGAGACATCACCGTAATGAAGCCAATTAGTGAGTTACCAATTCATTGTCCTATTCTGATCAAGATCATTGTCTCCCATTCGAATTTTTTCGAAGGTTAATTGTTCGTTAATTTGTCGGCGAGCAATTAATTGAAAGAACCTTAATCGAGTGAGCGTGGTAAGAAGAATCCAGTAGTGAAAAAAACAAGTAAGTATCATGACAATCAAAAAAAAAAAAAAATTATGTTGGAAGGCAGTTCTTCTCACCTATATTTCCCCGGCAATAATTATTTTCATTTTCTTCAAAAAAAAAAAAAATTATTGTAAGGATGTGTTCTTTTTGGATTTTTTTCTCTATATGTTTTTAGTTTTTATTGTTGGTGTTGATGCAACACCATGTATTTCATCAAATTTTGAAATCCAAAATAAAGATTATTGAAGGAGTCTTTGGTAAAATAAAATAAAATATGAAAAATTGTTGTATTCCTCTATATCTTCTATTGTTCGAAAAGTGTAAATAATTTGAATGAAAATGGATTTTGATATAATATTTTAAATAGATTATAGATATTTGTTGAATGTTTTGAATATAAAATACTCCCTCGGTATCAACTCTAGCCTATCTTGCAATATTTTTATTTTGGTTTATTCTACATATTTTATAATATTTTCAAAATAAAAATAATTAACTATAATTTATCTTATTACATCACTCAAATAAAAATAAATAAATATATGTATATTTTTCTCTCGTGACATTACCTAATTCTTAATTTATTCTACTAAATACTATCAAGTTAAATTCTTGTATCGAAAATTAAATGTCTCACCATATGTGGGATGGATGGAGTATAGTTTTCCTATAAAGTTTCTAAATAGATAATGTAATATTTTATATTGATTAAAAAAAAAAAGAATAATTACTACAGTACATGCAATGTTAAAAAATAGAGTAAAAATTATTTTTGGTCTTATTCAATATCAAAATTATCAATTTTGGTTCCATTAAAAACAATTATCAATTTTAGTCCCACTCAAATGAATATTTATCAATTTTAATCTCAAAATGGTTGACTGGGACTGAACACGGCCGTGTTGTCTTGAACACGGCCGTGTTGGATGACTCAGAAGGTGACTGGGCGTCCCAGGCAGCCAACACGGCCATGTTGAGACAACACGGCCGTGTTGGATGACTCAAAAGGTGACTGGGCGTCCCAGGTAGCCAACACGGCCGTGTTCGTCTCAACACGGCTGTGTTGATTACTTTGCACTTCTGAACACGGCCGTGGTCCTGCCCATGTTCTGAACACAGTCATTGTTCTGTCCATATTCTCAACACAGCCATGTTCTAGGCCATGTTCCAGCCTATGTTCTCAACACAGCCATGTTCTAGCACATATTCACGACCATGTTTTCAATATAATCATATTGTAGGTCATATTTATTATTATTTTCACTTTTTGGTTAAAATTATTTGATATATATATTTATAATTTAACAAAAATATTTTTTACAATTATTTTATAATATAAAAAATAATCAATTTTTAATATTTTTAAAATATATAAAAAAAATTTAATATTTGAGAACATGGGCAAGAATATGGCTGTGTTCAGAACACGGGCATGAACACGACCGTGTTCAGAAGTGCAGGGTAATCAACACAACCGTATTGAGACCAACACGGCCGTGTTCAGTCCCAGTCAACTATTTTGGGACTAAAATTGATAAATTTTCATTTAAGTGAGACTAAAATTAATAATTTTTTCGAATTGGACCAAAATTGATAATTTTGATATTGAATGGGACCAAAAATGATTTTTACTCTAAAAAATATGTATATAAAAATAATACTCCCTCCGTCCCAGATACCATGTCCATGTTGTCGTTTGGAAAATAATTACACACTTTAATCTTATTTTAAATTTTTTAATTTTATTTTTTTAATTTTAATTAAACTAATTAGTTATCTTTATCTTAATGTATAATTATTTATATTATAAGATAATTATTTTTAGTAATACATTTTTAATTATCTACTAATTACACCCCTTTTAAAATACCGTGTCTACAACAATGTAGCAGACACGGTATTTGAGACGGAGGGAGTTATGCTAAAAAAATATTTCATCAAATTGTTTAAAAGGCCCTATATTAACGGGCAAGGCCCATTTATATAATTACGAGCCCAATCTATGTACAGTTATCATTATTTTATTATTATTAATATTATTTGAACAGAGAATAGGACAAAACTGAAACCGTCTGGACAGGGACGCCACAGCCACAGGACATGGACGATCTCCTACCGTTGATCTCCCCAGACATCCAACGGCTCAGATGATTCCGACAGCCCTCCAATTAAATTCCGACACGAAAGCATGAGGAGACCGGTGGGCCCCACCGCCGACCGACCACATGACAGAATAGAGAATACACTTCTTCCCCCCTTGTCCGTACGACACCGCCCTATATTAATTAATTAATTAATTATTGTGTTAACAACGTCCCATTCGCATTTATGACGCCGATACATACAACTCTTATTGCTTACCTTATAATTAATTTATTGTTCCATCCGTGTTCACTCATTTCTTTTTATATTTATTTAAATAAAATAATTTGTTTTTAATTTTTTATCTATATTTTTTAATAATCCATGACTCCGACTCTACGTTGCATATTTTAGGTTTGGTAATATAATATTATCTCCGTTCGATTATAAGATTTTATTTATTTTTTTGTGTGTTAATATTTGAATATTGATTGTTATATAAAAATATAATATAAATTAAAAAATGGCAAAAAAAATTTTATTAATGTCTTGTAATACTATTATAATGACATTTGTGCAAAAAAATTATAGAAATATAAAAATATTTTTAATATTAATTAAAATGATATAAAATGTAAATGAGATCCTTGAAGTCGGACGAATGGAGTATAGTTATTTTGTTTTTAACTTCTTGTTTTGAAGTATTTTTATAATTAATAGAAAAAAATATTTCCTCCGTCTCAAAATAATAGTTTTATTTTGTCATTTTCGTATGTTCCAAAACAATAGTCTTATTTCCATTTTGGTAACTATCTCCCCACTTTTTTACAAAACTATCTCCACTTTTTCATAATAATTATATAAAGCAGAGATATTTTGATTTTTAGAAACACTTTTACATTCATTGTTAACAAAATACTACTTCCTCCGTCCCACAAGAAGGTTATTTGGTTTTTGCGTCATTGACTTAACATTAAAAATATATTTATATTTGAATAATTTACTCGAAAAATATTATTGTATTTGTATTATAAGACACTAATAAAAGTATTTTTTTTTTAATTTTTACTACATATTGATATAATAATTAATATTAAAAAATTAACGCGCAAAAAGACCATAGTAATCTTCTTGCGGGACTAAGGAATTATTATTCTTTGATTCTCGTGTGCAACTTAAATGTCCATATTATTTTGAAATGAATGAAGTATATGCATGTAAATAATAATAAATTAATTGTATATAAAAAATAATAAAAAATGTGTATATAGTTTATATTTAAAATATAAAGTCAAAACCTAGAAAATATTAAAAATAAGTCGTACGCTTTAAAAAAATCAATGAAACGTACTTACCTGTAACTTTCACTAATGAAGTTTAGTTGCGATTTGAAATTATTTTCAATTTAATATTTATTTAAACAGTAATTTTTTATATAATATTTTATAAAAATTTAATAATAATATTTTTTTATTAGCAATAGGAGAATAATACAATAATTTCACAATAAAAACTACTCTCTCCCACAGTTTTAATACAACAGTTTTGTTTACCATTTTTGTACGTCCTAAAATAATAGTCTTATTTCTATAAATAATTATATCACCATAAAACTACTCATACTTTTTCATTTTTATACACAATTGTCACTACTTTTTACACTAATGCACTCAAAATGGCAAAAATATCTTTTATCCATACTTTTTAGCAACTACCAATATAATATCAATATTCCTTAAATTATGTGTCCAACTCAATTAAGACTATATTTATGGGACGGAGGAAGTTAAAATTTTAAATAAATATAAATTTTTAATAATGTGTATATTTAATTTTTTATTAAAAACTATTATTATATAATTAAAAATAATAAAAATTCAAAATACTATTATTATTATTATTATTATTATTATTATTATTATTATTATTATTAAACTGATTTTGGGGCAGGCCCCCCACAAAATAAGAAAGTCATAATGAATAGTATTTGATAGCTGGACAACAAAATCAAATTCATGTTGTATTGTTTTGAAATTTCGTTGCAGTTATTTTGAATTAAATAATAATTATATAATAAAAAAATTGAAATAATAAAATATAAATTAGATATATGTATTTTAAATTTCGGCAACTCAATCTTCAATGTCCGTCAAAATATATTTTTCAAATAACTATGAATGCGTGTCGTGACACAAATATTTGTCTCGTAATAAGTTGTTTATTTGGAACTTTGGATTTACTCGTGCTTGATTTATTTAGTCTAAGAAATATTTAATTATAATTTTTTATTTTTATTATTAATATTAATATTATAATAAATAATACATTTAATTTAAAATAATGAATAACTACTTATGTCGTGTAATATTTGACTTTTGCTCTTATATAAAATGTAGGCACCTCTCTTGTCACACTTTTGGTGAGTTTGAAAAAATTGTTTTAAGTTAATATTTAAATAATATTTTATAAAAATATATATATAATTCAAAATAATAAAATATATGATACTAATATTGAAATTTTTAAATACAAAAAATAAATAAATATCTTTTTTAGGAGACAATAAATATAGAAAAACACATTTGTTGGGAAGACTACTAGCATGTAATTTTTGTCATTATTTTATTTAACTAATACATAATATATTAAATTAAATATTTATTTTTATTTATTATATTATATTATATTAAAATATAATTTTATATTAAAATATTATATCAATACATATTTATATTAAATTAAAAAATCAGTTCAATATTAAATTTTAATATACAAAACTCAAATCCAACAAACAAACACTTGGATGAGCATGATTTATAATAAAATCCCCATGGTATGTTTGCTTGGACGATTGAATTTTGCTTTGAAATTTGATAGTAAATTGTTTTTTTTTTTTAAATTTAAATAATTGTATAATGTGATATTTTGAATATAAATTTAATTTTTAATATAATATAAAAAAATTAGAAATAAAATTTTGATTTAATATTTTTTTAAAAAAATAATTTTATGAATAGTAAAAATTTGAGAAAATTATATAATTGAACACACCCTAAACTTATTATATCCAGAAACAATGCAACTCCCTCCATCAGTTGTAATTATATTAAATTTTATTTTTTAGTTATCCGTTAAACTTATGTTATATTTATTTATAGAAAATAATTTCATTTACTTAAAATTTTATTATTACAATTTTAAGTAATAATAATTAATTTAGTACAATTTTTTCTATCTATCACATTATTTTTTATTATTTCTTTAGTATTTTTACTTATTCTATTTTTATAATAAAATATTATTATTTTTTTAATGATATAAGCATCCTATAATGAGAAAAATATATACTTCTAAAAGTTTAAGAAATCCAAAAAATATATATCCCACTACAACAATTTTTTATATTTTGTAATAAAAATATTTAAAAGTATATATAATTCTATCCTCAAATTTAAGCAAACAATTTTAAGTTTGGCTGGGATTTACTAGGTGTTCACTTTCTAGTAGCCGCTGCGGATTTTAATGTTAAAAAAAAAAAAAAAATATGAGATAATTCCATTTGTTATAACTTAGAACTAAATATTTCCTTCAAAAAATTTATACATCAATTATGCTATCAATTAGAACAATTAATTCATCCTAAATCTAAGGGTTTCTTTTGCACCAAATTCCAAATTTTTACTATTTGAACTCTATATTTTTCGAAAAAAATACATTAAATACCAAATCATACATTATTTTAATACGAAACTCAAACCAAAATTTATAAAACATTTAACATCATATGAACCAATAACATTTATTTAACATTATATATAAATATAATATATATAGTATATTCTATTAAAAAAAATCTACTCAATGAACAGAGTCAAACTTCTTCCCAAATGTTAGCTTTGTATTTCATATATGAAAATATTTATCTATATGCTTGAGCATAAACCAAAAAAAATAAAATAAAAATAAAAATATGGCTAGATATAACATATACATTTAATTAAGTATTTTAGGGTGTTAGGAAATGTGAGATTTAAAATCATTTAAATCATCACATCACTATACTATATACTATACTACAATATGCTATGGCAGATAATTAAGGGACTGATGATCACTGTCACTCCACTGATGTTGACTCCAGTACGCTGGATCAACCGCAGCCGTTAGATCAAAAAGCCCTCCTTGATCTCCGCCGCCGCCGCCTCCCCAGTCTAGAGCTCCGGCGAGTCCATCGTCGTCGTTCATCTCTTGCATCTTAAACGCCTCATCTCCACCGCTTTGATCCACAATCCGACAGTCGGAATTCTCCGGCGGCTGATTCCCCTGTTGCTGCCGCTCGTACGGCGGAAGCGGCGGCGCCGGAATGCCGGTCACGCCGAACGGCATCATCTCCGGCGGCGACGTCATCAGGCTCGCGAGGCTCTCTGTCGCGAAGATCTGACCGTCCGAAGCCTGACTCACGATCGGCGGATGGTTGAAGCTAGGGTTTGCGTTGATAAACCTCGCATCAGCGAAATTGAAAACCGCTGCCGTACTCGCCGCTATGTTCGTCCTAGCAGATCCTTCCTCCGCCGCGGCGGCGGCGGAGGAAGGTGTTGTGGCGGTCGTCGCGGCGGAGAGGCTCGAGCTCTCGCTGCTCGAAGTCTGAACATTCGAGCTACGCTCTCTCGCACCTTCCACAATAACCGCGGCGGAGCCGCCTCCGCCTCCGCCTCCTCCGCCGCTGCTCCTCTGCTTCGACCGCTTCGCCTTCCGGCAACCTCCTCCGACCGGAACGTTACGCAGCACGCCGCCTTTGGTCCAGTACCTCCGGCAGCTCTTACAGAAATGGCGAGGCTGAGACAGATTATAGTTGTTATAGTAACAAAATTTGGTGTTCAACGAATCGCACCGCGGACACTTCAAAGCCTGGTGGTTCGCGTGGTTGTGCGGCCGCAACCGCCGATCTCCACCGCCAAAAAACCTTCCGCCACCGCCTCCACCGCCGCCGCCGCCACCAATCTGATGTATATCCTGCATTTCACCGATCAATCCTTCACAAAACTCCAAAATCGAATCCCCAAACAAAATCCCCAAAACATTTCCCCAAAATCGCAGAAATCGAGTGAGAGAGAATCGTCAAATTAACCAAACCCTACCCCAAACAAATATCCCCAACAAATCTTCCAATACAAGTATTTCTACATCTCCTGCCCATTGTGAAATGACTATTCTACCCCTCCCAACAGTCCAAATGACTGTAGTCACCACGTGGGGCTGCAATTACCAAAACACCCTCACCCCTCCACGTCACCTAAGGGGTAATTATGGGATTTCGCAAAGGGCAATATTCCGGTAAGTGGAGTATAACGCAATGTGGTGGGCCCTATGAACAATAGGGACACGTGTACGGTCAGGAACGACGGAGATATCACTGCCTCAAATCCGAGCCTGTCCCGTTGTCGGCTACTGCTGTGACTCATACTGGTGAAATTACGACTGGTGTACAGGTTGCCACGTAGGCGTACTACTTGCCATTTTTGGACAATTCTACACTGTATTTTATTTTCTTCAATTTCTATTTATAGAATTTTAAAATTTTTATCCACACAAACTACCCAACAAAAAATTAATTTTATTAAGAATTGCTAATAAATTAAAATAATAATAATATTATTAAATTAATCCTGTTACATCACACATTTAAAAACCACCACCAAAGTTGTTGCCCACATCACTAAACACAATCCATGGAGTTTATTGAATTATATATAATTTAATTAAATTACAATTGTGTATATATATATATATATATAATTGATGGTTTTTATTTAATGGGAATTTGATAATAATATTTTATTATTTTTCTATATTTGTAATAATTCATCACATATAGTGGAGTTTGATATATGTTTTGTATTTTTACCTAAACCATGTCTTAAGTTATGTATTGCATTTAAGTAGTATGAATTTAAATTACCACTATTGTAGGTGTGGTGTGATGTGACCTCAATATTTGGTTCATTTCTCAATGAGTTTAAATAGGTTTAGGAAGAGTTTGTTTCGTTGCTAATTGTATCTTTTATATGATATATATATAGTCTCTTTGTCCCATAACAAAGTATTCATTTTTTTATTTTAATCTGTTTCATAACAAAGTATTTATTTTCTTTTTTTGTAACTGTATTGTCTACTTAACATTACAAATACCCTTACAACTTACAATATATTACACAAATGTCATTACATTTATATCACACATACTAATAAGGTTATTTCTGTCATTTCTATTTTATTCCTACTTATATTCTAATATAATACTAATATTTTTAAAACTACGTGCAAAAAGCAAATAGATATTCTTTTATGAGACGGAGAGAGTATTATTTAAGGTAGGATAAAATTGCAAAAGAAATATGTTAAATATCATTTTGAAATTATTTTACAAAACAAACACACGGTATTTTTTTCAATCTTTTATTTAAATTCCTTTAATAAAAAATTATGTGTATATGTTATGAGATGTTTTGTATGGAAAATAAATTATATTAAAAACTATTACAATATTTTTTAATATTAAATATATATATATATATAAGTAATACATATAAAGACATAAAAATAAAATCAAACACGCTTTAGTTAATGCAAGATTAAATGTGCAAGAGCAATCAAATAATATATCCATATTAAATGGTCCACAAAAATCGACTATTTTAATTTATATATTAAAAATATAATTATAATTTTATATGCAAAATAAATAAATTGTAGTACCTATTATTTATTAGCTTGTATACTTGAAAAGTATTATACTATCAATATACCACATGGCATCTTTTCTTTCCGATAGTAAATCATCGTCAAATATAAATATTAAATAAAATCGATTGATAACACATGAAATAGTATAAATACACAAATATATACAAACTTTTTAAAAAAAAAATTCAAAATATTTCTTCTAGTACAAACTTTTGTAAATAAATATATATATATTAAAATTACTATTCAGCGAAAAAAATATTTTGTTAATTAAAATTTTAAAAATATCGTCGCCTCGTCACTATATATATATATATATAAGATAAGGTGGTTGAACGAGGGCGGCAAAAAAGTGGGGGCTCTATTACTTAGTGTATTCGCTTCTCCTTTTCCTACTTGTCGACATCGCGTTCCCCTTATGTCTACGCATATCTCTAACCTACGTTTCAATACATATATTCGATATCTGTTTATAAATTAATCAGATTTCCTTGTAAGAAGTCTTGATTTTAGTTTTTTTTTTTTTTTTTTTTTTTAGTGTGATTCCTATAAATAAAAAAAAAAAGTAGCATAAGCTTTTTGCGTATAGATTTTTTAATATTAATTATTATGAAGAAAAAATGAAAAAAAATACTTCTATTAGTCTCTTATAATACAAATACAATAACATTTGTAAAGTAAATGATACAAATATAAAAATATTTTGAATGTCAAGTACAATGACACAAAAAATAAATGATATCAGTTTTGCGATCGAGGCTGAGTCCCAGTCTCGGACATCTCAATCCCGTGGATTGTAAGAAGATACGGGCAATGGGACGGGTCCTATTCTCGATTCTTGTTTGCGCAAATGGAAGTCGCTTTCGTAACCAACCCACAACACACCGTCTTTATATAAGGTGATGGGATTTGCCCTTCACTATTATTACAACCCCTCTCTTGGCTTCATTATTGCTTCTCGTGTCCTTACGCTAATTATTTATTGTTCTTATTTGTTTTTTTTTTTTTCTTTTGTTTTTTATGCTCTTGATCGCGATTCGTGATTTTGTCGTGCATTTATGTTATTTCGATGTCGAAATTCTTGTAATACTTGGCCTTGCATATACCAAGTTTTACATCCAATAATACGACGATCTTGGACAACCTAATTTATATTTAGATATTTTTATTCAACGATGAATTCGTTAATATATTATTTTAGCTTTGGCTATGCTCGACATAAATATATATATATACTTATATTAATTTGAATTGACTTTTATAATTTGTTAGAAAATATTTTAATTTAAATTTATTGAAAATACAAATATGTAATCTTGTCAAAATCTTATTAAGATAGGTATAATACTAGGTGAAAGATTATTCTATTTTATTATTTTATTTTTACTGCAAATTTAACTTAATTTTTTTTACTATAAATGATGGACCAACTTTTGTAAGACTATGTTAATCGGCCCAAGCTATTATAGCATGCTAAGCTTTGGGCCATCGGCCCATGGTCCAAAATCTTTGTAACAATTAAGTAATGTTTTATAAAGAATAATAATAATATATTATTTCATCCACTATGATTACATGTTTATAGTGTGTTTGATTTGTATTTAATTTTAAAATTTTGTTTAAATAAAAATTTGACAGGATCTTTTATGAAAAAAAAAAAAAAAAAATTATTATTACAAGAATTCATAATGGTTATATTAAAGGTATATTCATTACATTGTATTTTAAAAAGTATTTTATTTAATATATTTTCAACACGTTATTATTTATATAATATTAATATTTTTAGTTTAGGTAATAAAAGTAAATATTTACTTTTGAAACGTTGTTTAAAAAATTCCAGTATTTCAATTATAGCGGGTAGCAAAAGTTTTGTAATGATATTTTTATTCTTATTTTTTTTTAATATGAAGTACTTAATAAAATATTTACTTTTATAATTAGACATCCTAAATTAAAAATAGGTATATTTTAGCTGGATGGAAGAAATAAAAAATCATACACAAATGCACACGTTTGAGCCAAGAGAAAACGGGCCCGGCCTGAAAATGGGCCCAAATGGATAAGCCCGTTTGGGGAGATGAGATTTTATTAGTATTACAAAGTGGGCGCATTAATTGATGTGACAGATCACATGGATTTACTACAAATAAGAATTGCTCTAAAATACACATCACATGCTCAGTAATAAAACCTCACATATTCAGTGTTAAACAACAATTTTGGGAGTTGTAACTTTAAATTCAGTTTGACTGTTAAATAATATAATCCGTCCGTCTCAACAATATGGATGTATTACTGTAAATATGAAAATTTAGCTAAAATATAATTAATAAGTAATTAAAAATTATATTAGTAAAAATAATTATTATTTAGTAAAAATAATTATAAAATAAGATTATGATAAGTAAATAGTTTAATTAAAATTAAGAAAATTATAAATTTTAAAATTTAAAATGCAATTAAAGTGTATAATTATATTTTCAAAAATAAAAATGACAAGTTATGTGGGATGGACAAAAATAAAAAATATGGACAAATTATGTGGGATGGAGGGAGTAGTAAAATGCTACTCCCTGTGTTCCATAAATATAGTCTTAATTAGGTTGAACACAAAATTTTAAAAATATTAATATTATATTGCTAGTTGCTAAAAAAATATGGATAAAATATTTTTTTTGCGTGAGTGAGTGTATTAGAGTAAAAAGTAGTGGCAAATGTGTAATAAAAATGAAAAAGTAGGGGTAGGTTTACGGTGATATGGTTATTCATGGAAATAAGATTATTGTTTTGGAACAGACAAAAATGATAAATAAGACTATTTTATTAGGACGGATGGAGTATATTATTTAATTGTAATTTGTTAATTGAATTATAATTTAATAATGGTTTAATTAAAAATATATTCATTATCTTGTAAATATACTACTCTCTCCGTTCCAGTATAATAGTCTTATTTACATTTTTTGTCCGTCCCAGAATAATTGTCTCATTTATATAAATAATCATATCACTATAAAACTACCTTTACTTTTTTACTATTATTACACAATTGTCACTATTTTTTACACTAATAAACTCACAAGGGCAAAAACATCTTTTACTCGTTTTTTTTACCCACTATCAATATAATATCAATATTCTTTAAATCTCGTGTCAAACACAACTCATACTATAGTTTTGAAACAGAGGGAGTAATATATATTTATACATAACTATGTGAATTTATAGAAGATAAAAAGGTTTATTTATCTAATATATATATATACACACACATATATACCATTTTCAATATATAACATATGCATTTTATTTTATTTTATTTTTTCATAAAAAAAATCAATATTATTATTTCTTATATTGTTGACACAATTTTTTATATTTCATATAAAAAAAATACTTTAAATTAAAAT